TGTAGTTCTCGTTGCCGGCAATATTTGCATTAGATCAAATGACAACGATTTTGTTCTCCATGCAAGTACATCCGGTGTTTCACTGGTTCAGTCGTAGTGCAAACTAGTTCTCATGAATATTGTTGTACTTTACTGAAATGCGAGAAACGCTTTTTCAGGGGTTGGAGGAAAGGGTGAGAATAGGGATGACCCCGGGCCCGGGCACCATGGCGATGACCAAATGGCACGACCAGGGCCGGGCCGGGACCGTTCCTCTCGGTTCCGTTCGGCTGCCCGGGGTTGGGTGGGTGGGCAGCACAAAGTTCAAAGATCACGAGTGCGACCGAGCGCACCGGCAGCGGGATTGCGAGCGACCGAGCGAGCGAGAGAGGGGGAGAGAGATAGAAACAAAGGGAATAAATAAATACTAACTGCGCAGGGCTGAAGCACGGTGGTGATATGCGCAATCAGAGCACCGCAGGGGAGGGTGATATGGCGCTCACGCGCACCACAACACCCCGGATGCTGTTCGTGGCATTCCTCAACCCCGCTGCCCAAGGGGAGTGACTCGCACCACAACAACACCCCGGGTACTCCTCGCCTTCCTCAACCCCACTGCCCACCGGGGAGGGATTCGCACCCCAACAACACCCTGGGTGCTCCTCGTCCTCGCCTTCCTTCCTCAACCCCACCGCCCGCGGGGGAAGGGAAGAGAGGGTGTTAGAGTCCACTCACCTCAACCCCCACTCCGCTACTGCTTTAGGACGGAAGGGGTGGGTGTTATAGCACCCACTCACCTCCTCCCGCAACATCCTGGGGGCTCCACCACACACCTGCTCCCTTTCCTCCCCCGCTGCGCCCATACAGCGATCCCTTTCTCCTCTCTTTCGCAGTCAGAAGAAGAGGCGACAACCAGCGCCACGCTGCCGCCATCGCCCTGCGCACCTCCCATTCATGAGGAGCTACAACACGACCGACCCCCCACCTCGCCACCCAACCGCCTCGCGCCCCAACCAGCCAGGCCCACTCGGAGCGCGCGCGCCCCACACCCCATCCCTCGTCCACCCGTTGCACGCCCACGCAGTGGCCGACATCACCCCCTCCCGCTCCGGGACGGTACTCTAGATAGCGCGCTACCCC